CCAGATGGGGGTTGGGGAGAGGGGAAAAAGTCAATCATTTCACCAATAGCACACAAGTAGAGACTGTACAGAAACTGGTTGGACTGTCTGAAAGCTATTTTATGTTTGCCCTGCCTCTGTCTCCTGAAAATAATACCCAGGTTTCAGTCCCACTGTTCTGTCACTGCAATTGCTCCTACTGGAATACAAATACCACATTATAAATAATTTTCATTTTATATCCATATTTTTCTAGTAAACATAATAATACATCTTAAATTAATTCATCTCCTTCTCACCACATTGGAAAGAAAAATTTCAATTCTTCAGATAATTATTTACTCAATTACAGGTTGGAGCTGGGATATGGGTTTGTAGAGGCCCAGAGAAGTTGAATTTAGGCACGGGGTGGACTGTGGAGGTGCATCCTCACCACCTCCAACTCACTATGAGCTGAGAAATGCTCTAGAGCTTCTTAGAATCACTGTTCCCAGAATTAACAGGTTTAAAAAACCTGTTAACCAGAGCACCTGGTTTTTAAACCATCAGCCTTGGAAACTTGGAAACTACAGTTCACACCTTTGTAGTTCCTAGAGAGCAGCACAACCCAGCAGAGCACAAGTGCAGGAATGAGGCCAAGAAGTGGCCATGCACTGTACAGGAGGATTACGACCCCCAAAGACCCCTGAAGTCTCTGACCCATTTCCAGAATGGTCTGAAAGAATGGACTGTGCATGAGAACTAATTTGCACAGCAAGTGAAAAACCTGTCCACAAATATATGCCAAGCCTGGGCAGTGCCCCAAAGACCCTGGGCATCTCCTCAGCTCCTCAGCCAGACCAGCAGAGCTGGATTGATGCTGAAATCAGGACTGACATCCCATCAGTTGGAACCAGCACTCGTTTCTCTTTTTCTCTTTTTCTCTTTTTCTCTTTTTCTCTTTTTCTCTTTTTCTCTTTTTCTCTCTCTCTTCCTCTTTTTCTATTTTCCTCTCTCTTTCTCTCTCTCTCTCTCTCTTCTCTCTCCCCCTCTTTAATTCATCTCTTCCTTTTTCTCTCTCCTTTTACCAATAATCCAAAACTCACTGCCATGTCCTTGCAGAGCAGCCAGGGACTAATACACCAATTTCCTTGCTAAGGGTGTGATTTATCAATGAAACTTTGTGGCCCCTCTGATTTTTGTTGTTCCTTTCAATCATGAGCATTAGTGAATCCTAGGTGTTTCCTTCCCCTTAAGGGTGGGTGGTCACAGGGGGTCAGGAGCTCCAGAGCTGTTATCAAATGTACAAAATGTGGCTATGTTCTGCAAGGAATGGAAAAATGAGGTTTTCTGAGCTTCCCCAAACCTTGGTTTTTTATTCTAAGTATGTGTAAAGGTACTGTGAGTATTTCCTCTCTTTTTTACAGCAGCCTGAGCTAGGAATAGGGAGGGATTAGTGTGGAAAGGCAAGAATAATGAAGAAAAAATGAGACAAAACTTACAATAGCAAGCACCTCCAAACAGTTGAATGTATCCAGAACTCACATCCAGAGCTGTAACTGTTCTTACTGTATTTCTGAGCCTTTAAAAACAGGAGCAATAGCTCAGGTTCTAAGCCATTCTTAAATATTAAGAATATTTCAGCTTTGTGCCAGAAGCTACTCAGAATTAATAGCACTTTTTGCTCATGGCAATTTCTTTATTATTTATTTTATTACTTTAGGAGTAAATTTGTTCTTAATAATTTTCTCTGCAGGGAACAGGAAGGCATTTATTTCCACAAGGAGCATTTCTCTTTCTGGGGGTTCTAACAGTTACATTAAAAAAAAAAAAAAAAAAAAAAAAAATATGTACAAACTTTTAAAAGAAGGATATATACACTCCTCTCACTGTGAAATAATATCCTTTTTTTCCCCAAGAACTGACAGCGAATCAGTTCTTTTAATTCCCAGGCATTTCAAGAACAGCATGAGACTTGCAAAGGCAAGAGAAAACAATACAGAATAAAAAGTACTGATTAACTTGTGGTGGCTCATTGAGTCAGAATGTGGTTCCCTACTGTGCTGCCTCTAAAAATCTTAAATCATCCTTTCCTTCCAGAAGCACAAAGAACAAATTGATCTCTCAAGGTAGAAAAGTTAATTTCTTCAATCCAAAGTAGAAGTTTTTTAAAGGTGAAGAACCTTGATAAATTGCATTTTTAATTATAAAATCTAATTAAAATGTCCACCAGTGTATTACTAGACATGGGTTTAGGTTTTTTTTTTCCTTTTTAAGGCAATCAGATACAGCTATTTCTTATAGAATAGCCCCACAGGTTTAGGCTAAGAAAACACTTTCTTCTCTTCTTGGTCCTACTTCATTGTTTTATTACTGTCTCCAGTTTTAATTGCCCAAATGAGAAGTCGTTACTATCAGGATCCTTGAAGTATCCCCAGAGAGAAACAACATTCCCTACCAGCTGGCAGTTCTATGTTTTTCAGAATCTATTGGTTTCTTTCACTAGAAGTTGCTAAATTTTCCACCCATTTCTCAAGATCTTTATTACTTCCAAGAAGTAAAGTCTTACTACTTGAATTACTTTGCTACCAGCACAATTAATTGGGCATGGGATGACACATGACATGGGAGGACAAAGAACTTAGAAGCACTTCCATTACATTTTTCCCAGAAGCAGCCCCATTATTCACTTTTCCTTCATTTTTCTCTGTTTCTTGATAATGTGTTTTGAATTTCTATTTGAAAGGCACCAATACAGTCACCATGTCACCAAATCATTCAATTCCATAGGTTTTTTTTTTCCCCATAGCTGTCCCAGCCTTTCCCCAGTTTCAGTCTTTCCTCACTACAAAGTTCCTTTTCTTTACCCACTGTGGTTGTCTTCACTCTCTTCCAGGCATTTGAGCTTTGAGGAGTGTAATGACAGCTCCTGTTTATCTGGTAGATGCAAGTGATCTGTGATTTTTTTAACTTATGTTTTTGTCAGTGCATCTCTTCATATTCCCATTGGTCATTCAAATCCTGTCTTTTTGCATCCAGCTGACTCCAAAATATTCAGGTGATGTGTAAATTTATTCATAAGGTTTTATTCACATCCCCTACAGGATAAATAAAAGAGAATGAAGGCAGAAAGAAGAAATAAAAGTTTCTCTGGATGTTTCCAGACTTCCCTTCAAGTTAGAGAGATTTTATAATGGATTTTCCCCTTTGCACTAAAGTTACAAACTTCAATGACCAAATCCTGCCTTTTCCATGCTGCAGCTCTCCCTTGCATGCCACACATCATCTCTTGGTGTGCACCCAGCCTTGCTTATCTTAGGAGTTACTCACAGCAAAATGCTTTATAAATAGGGGCCCTGAAATCATGACCCTAAAATAGCAAAACCCCAATTAGCCCAAACGCTGAAGATGAAAGGAGTTTCTGAACTGTCATCAGCCATATCAGGGGAGAGAAACAGCAAATTTTTGTCTTGGGAATACAAGATTAAAGAACAAAAATATTTTTAAAAAACATTTTTGTTCTTTGGAAAATACCAACAACCACCTCAGTGGGAGAGTGACAAGCGTCTGGCAGGGGAATTCAGTGAAAAAGAGCAGATTTAAAAAAAAAACATGTTTACCTCTTTAAAAGGAACTGTCAACACAAGTCACAATAGATGACCAATATAAATGAGATAAGGAACAGATTTTTAAAAAATGTTATCATCCTAGAAAATCAATAGGAAAAAATTAACTAATAAATGACAGCCTCTGCTATCTTGGGTTTCAGTGTTCTAATGAAAACCTTCTTTACTAATTTATTAAAAACAATTAAGATATTTAGCACTTTGTGAAGACACGGAAGCCCCCAATATATATAAAAAAGTAACTTCCAGCGCAAATATATCTCAAAACTAAAGATTATCACAAAGAAAAAGGCATTAATAACATTTTAAGTTTTATCTTTACAATTATCAAGACAGCCAGTTTGTGTCCTCTGTTGGTGTCTGTACAAACACTACATATATAGAAAATAAAATATGCATATATGTATATTTATGAGGACTGGAATTATGAGATGTGCAATATAAATTAATCAGGTCAAGTATCTTCTATACAAATAACACCTCATAGAGAAATGTAGAATGATAAGAAAATATTATGTATCTAATTTACATTACTATTAAAATTAGAACTCAAAGGTAATCCCTTTGAGACAGTGAAACCTCCATAGAACATCAGATTTCTGGACCTTCCACTATCTTTCCACTATATAAATCTACAGTGACATCTGTAAATCTATAAAAGCTACTGAGCTTGAATCTAATAACCAAAAACTACATAACAATTTCTCACTTGTCATTTTACACTGCATTTTCTCAAAGGCTGATATGTCTAAGTTTCTGCCATGAACAAAATCTATATTATTCTATATTATTCTATATTATTCTATAATATATCTAAATTGTGAAATCTATAACTGGGGTAAATGAAATAAAGACAGGTTACCTAAAAAATAGACCGAAAATATATATCCCAAGAGTACCTATATTTGACCCCTATGGACAACAGGAACATTTTCTATCATATTATTTTAAGACAGTGCTGTTCTGATTGTGTGCAGATCAAAACCAGCCGAAAGCAAAGATGGTTTAAGTCCCGATAAACACAAGTATCATTTCTTCATCACTAGTTGTCACTACTTCATACACATATTTGCCTATCAAAACAGACTACAAGCACCTAGAAAAATAAACTTGCAAAACACTCAGTGTGTAGATTACAGGTCGGGTCAAGTTCAAGAAGACCTACCACAAATCAGATAAAGAAATACTGGGCTTTATTGAAAAAACAAATAGGTTAATGCACTAACTAGAGAGTCTTAATCTATGCAGTAATAGCACAAGAAAGGAGTATCAATATATATAAGAAATGCATTCATTACAGGGCAGTAATGAATACAATGAATGTAAAACCTTGGGGGGTTAATATATACAGGGGTTAATGTACAGAGCCTCTGTCCAGAGGCCCCAGGAGCACAGCTCTGGGCAGCAGCATCTCTTTCAGTGGCCGGAGAGCAGCAGTTGCCTGAGCCCAAGCACCAGGCCAAAGTAGTCCTGCAGGGCCTTCGCCTGGGCGTCAGGATCGCTGGCCAGGTGCTGCAAGAGGTTGGGAGGTTCAGCCAGCCGCAAGTCCGAGGGCAGACGGATCTCCTCGGGAAGCCTCTCGTTGCCGATGACAAAGTGCTGCAGCGCTTTGGTCTCCAGCGAGCAGCGCAGGAGCTTCAGGATGTCCATCATCCGCCGGGGGAAATCCCTCCTGCGCCAGCGTGTCGGGGGCACGGTGCTCAGCAGGTGCATCAGCACAGTCTTCAAGGTGTAGCTGGACAAACCTACACCCGGCAGGCTGTGGCTGAGGAGCTGCAGGCACTTGCAGTGGCAGCTGTCCTGGGGGGCCTGCCTGGAAATGTGCCCGAAGAATTTGGCCTCTGCCACGGCACAGGTCTCAGGCCACGCGGTGCTTGGCGTGCCCGCTTCTGTGGCCAGGCTGCCCGCAAAGATGTCAGAGTCTCCTCGCCGCACCCCGAAGATCATCTCAGCATTGAAGCTTTCCTGGCCTTTGCTCAGCTGAAACCAGCAGGAGCGGCTGGAGGGCAGCAACGTTAAGCGCCAGTGGCGGGACTGAGGCAACAGCAGCCAGGCTACCCTCACAAAGCCACAGAACCACTGGGCAGTCTTCTGCACATCCAGATAGGAGCCGGTGCACAGGGTGTGCAGGAGGCTGGGCTCCTGTTTCCTCCTCAGCTCCTGCTCAGGCTGGTGGAGGAAACACAGCATGTCCTCCCCCGGCTGCCCCCTGGGGCAGGTGCACAGCAGCTCCACGCGCACCCAGAAGTTCCTCTGGGGCATCCCTGCGGTGTCCAGCTCCAGGTGGAAGGCGTGTCCCGCAGGGGGACTCAGGGCAACAAGCACCTGGTACACAGGATCTTCTGCACGGGGACTCCAGCCTTCAAAGGCGCTGCCCACTCCGATGGCTTCCTGTGGCACCGGGTAGAAACTGTGTGACAAGCCTTGTTCAAAGACGTCTCTCAGTTTGGCCATCAGGTCACCAATCAGCGAGCAACCTTTCTCCAGATCCACAACAGGCAACTGGATGCGCTGCACTGAAAGGCCTCCCGGGTTGCTTTCAATCTTGTGGGCCTCGTCATCTTGGGCTCCGCTGTGTTTGTCCTTGCCATTTCCAGGAGCACCGACCTCCTCCCATTTCTCCTCATGGCTTCTGACTTGCTTTGCTCCAAGCCAGAGCGCCAAGAGGAGGACGAGGACTGCCAGAGTTCCCCAGCACGGCCACAGCAGCAGGGCTCCCCAGGCGCCAGCGCTCTGCTCCAGGCTCTGCCGCTCCAGCTCCTGCACCAGCCGAGCCATCTCCTGGCTCAGGTACTCGGCCCGCTGCTCCATGCGCTCCCGCGTGGCCTCGTCCAGCCCACGGGCGGCCGGCTGCGGGTACCGGAGGAGGCCTTGCACCAGCAGGAGGAGGAAGGTGGTGCCGAGCATGGCCTCGGCAGGTGAGGACGGGACCGGGAGGGTCAGTGCGGGCGGCAGGGATGCGCTGCTCGGGGCAGCGGGGCAGCAGCCCCGGGGATCCGGAGGCAGCACAGCGGCCCGGCAGCCGTCAGGCTGCCCGGCTGTGCCGCTGCCCCGGCAGCAGCAGCGCCGTGCCCTGCCAAAGGCTCTCCCGCCCGGGACCGGCTCCGGGTGCCCGCTGGGCAGCGGCTCCCCGGGAACTCGCCTGGCTGCCCTGGCTCAGCGCTCAGCGCCCGGCGCGGCCTCCTGGCTGCGGGCACGCTGCTCGCCGGCCGGGGCTGCACTGGGGCGGCGGCACCGCTGCTGCTGCTGTTTGCAGCTGCCCCATTGTGACGCCGGGGCTGGCATGTCACCGGGGTCACAGTGCGGCCCGGCCAGGCCAGCCCCGCCCTCCATCTCTGCCCCAGCTCAGGGACTCGCCGTGGACCCGGCTGCCAAATACCTGACACACACCGAGGGCAGAGCCAGGGCTGAAATCCAGCCCAGGCCTGCCCTGCCCAAACGCGGCAGAAGCCCCGCAGGCCCTTTGATACTGTGAGACTGGGTGAAATGGCCCACGAATGCTTTGCCCCTGGAAATCTGCTGCTCTCAGGTGCAGCTGGCTCCCTTGGCGCTGAGCTCTGTGCCTGTCGGGTGCTCTTGGCACCTCAGCACAGCCCTGGGTGCTCAGTGGTGAACACCCTGGCCGTGGCATGGAGCTTCTCCAGGGCAGGATCTCTGTTCCTGCTGCTCCACGCCAGAGGCCCTCGATTGCACAGAGTCATTTCCCAGGGCTGATGAGCATGTGTGCTGGTGATTTCCAACAGGCTGCTCCCACTGCCGACAGAGCCCTGTGTTCTGCCTGTCCTGCAAGTTCATTTGTGCGGTGCCAAAGCCCTGCAGAATGTCTGGGACGAGCAGAACCTTCATTGTCTCCCCAGGGAACACAAGCAGGCACTGCAGCGCTGCCTCTTGCTTGCTCCCTGCTCCGCCAGAGCTTCCAGGGACTTTCAGAGCCCGTGTGAAATGGCCAGCATGGCCTGAGAGAGCAAGGGAAATACAGGGCAAAAATCAGCTTTGTACATGCTGTGAACTTCAGTGGCTGCCACAATAGAAAGACCCAAGAGAGGAGCACTGAGAATTCTGTGCCTTTGTTCAAAAGGGCTTTGTAGAACTGTCCCTCCTCCCAGCCAGTCACGTTTGCCAGCACCACGCTCCGTGTGCAGCCTCTGGAGGGCAGGGATGCCATCCAGAGGGACACTGAGCCTGCAGAGGCTCGGCAGAACCTCATGGAGCTCAGCAGGGCCAAGAGCAAGGTCCTGCACCTGGGCTGGGGCAATCCCCAGCACAAACACAGGCTGGGCTGAGAATGGATGGAGAGCAGCCCTGAGGAGAGCGGATGGGGTGTTGGCTGACAGGAAGCTCAACAGGACCTGGCACTGTGCAGTGACAGCCCAGAAAGCCAAATGTGCCCTGGGCTGCAGCAAAGCAGCGTGAGCAGAGCATGGGAGGGGATGCCGCCCCTCTGCTCTGGAAACCCCACCTGGAGCCCTACATCCAGCTCTGAGGTCCCCTGCACTAACAGAAGATGATCCTGTTGCAGCAAGGCCACAACGACCACGGAGCTGGAGCACCTATGGACACGGGCTGAGAAAAATGGGCTTGTCTAGCCTGGAGAAGAGAAGGCTCCAGGGAGATCTCATTGTGGCCTGGCAGCTCCTAAAGGGGGCCTAAAAGCAGTTTTTACTAGGACATTCAGTGATAGAACAAGGGCGGGTGACTTTAAACAAAAGAATGTATATTTAGATTAGATGTTAAGGGGTTCTCCATGTGAATGTGAGAAGACATTGGAAGACAGCCTGGAGCAGCCCTGGCAAACCCATCCCTGGAGATGTTCAAGGCCAGGTGGGATAGGGCTCTGAGAACCCTGTTTTACTTAAAGGTGTTCTTTCCCAAGGCAGGGAGTTTGGACACAGACTATTCTTAAGGTCACTTCCAACCCAGGCCGTTCTACGATTCCATGGAATGCAACCTGAACTATTCCATTTTCTCTTGAATGAAGTGCATCTTCTCTGAATTTCCATCTTATAGTTCTTACAGTATAATATGCAAAAAGATGAAATGTTCTTGTCAATAAAAATGATATCTTAAAAGGCTGATGTTGGTGATCTTTAGGCTGTCTCCTGATCTTTAAAGAAATTTTATGAGAAAATTGGGAAATTATTGAACACTCATATAAAGATAAGGTTCACAGGGCAAAAGTTGCTCCTTCCTGTTTTGACAGGGAACTAGAATGCCAGGGCAATTTTTAAAAATGCCAGTACAGCAGAAGGATGAGTACAACCATGGGCCCTGATAGAATACTGCTAGAGAAAAAAGATCAGCAACAAGGCTTTGAACTTCAATGAGGCTCAGACAAGGCGATTTCTATATATTGTTTTGTGTGTTAGGAAAGAGGCAGCAAAAGTTGGTTCCAGGCACTATTGAACTAGAAAGTCAATTTGAAGAGAATAAAAAATAATTATCCACCTCCTGCTGTTCCCCCACCAATGTAAAGATACCTGGCATAACCCTTCTAAGCTCAGAGAGTTTTGTGCAAGCAGCACAAATGTGTCACCTTTTTTTGTGATGACAAATTGGTGTTTAGCCAACTATCACTACCTAGCAGTCTTTTGCAGCAATCTTTTCAGAATTTAACCTTTATTTCAAGTAATTTCTCCCATTTATTACATTCCTTCTAAGCTATAAGTTAAGAAATTAATAAAAAGAATATATTATACCTAGAGCAGACCTCTGACCTCATGGATGCGATTTTATTAGAATAATTAGAATAGTAACAGCTAGGATAGCTTGAATAATTCAATAATTAGAATTCAGTAGATGGAATGATTCACTAAACCACTTCATAGTTAGAAAAACAATTCAATAATTCCATAGTAAGAATAATTAGAAAATTTAAGTAACTTTTACCTTCAGTGCATGGTATTTGAAGCTCTTGATGTGATTGAGCTAAGTAAGAGCTCCAAACAGGAAAAGCAGCTGCTAAAACTCCTACAGATAAATGGCATTTGTTCAGGGGATCTACTGCACTGAAGGGGCCCTGGACTGTGATTTTCTGGCACATGGCAGGTCCTCACTGCAAAGAACCATGTTGAAGAGGAAAAAAAACCCAAAACAACAACAATGAAAACAAAAAAGGTAAGAAGAAAAATGAAAGTACTTTTTTTGGATATAATTTATATAGGTACTTCAAGCCATAGTTAGAAAAAAATAAACAGAATGGCACTAAGCCTAGGGAAAAGAAGAATTTCATATATTAAAAAGTACATTAATGTTGCTACAGCACCCACAGGTGTTGCAGTAGCTGTCTCTCATAGAAAATACTTTAAATCTATTGTGTATTTCTGCTGTTACAAATGCATCTTATCTAAAATGTTCTATGCATTCTAATTGCATCGCTCTAGCTCAGTGCTTTTTCTGGACTTAAAAATTATAATTTTTCTGTATCTTCCCTCAAGGGCAACACAAGCCTAAAGCAAATGAGCTGCTTCTATGGGCTCCTTCACCATGTACAAGCCTAACACAGTAACTACAACATAAGAAAAATCTTTGTGTCAAGGTTTGTGGGTGACTTCACCACAGCCTCCTCAATGGTCTGAAGGAAGCAGTGCACCCATTCCACAGCCAAAGCCGAGTCAGACATTCCACTATCTGCCCAAAAGTAATTTCCTGCTTTGTTTCATTCAAGTTGATTTTTGAGGGGCCAATTTTCCATGTGGTTCTTCAAAAGAATAAAAATTATCTCCTACGCATATAGCTGTTTTCTCTTTTTCTCCATTGTTTTTCCCTATTTTGATAAGAAAACTAATTAAAATAGATGATTCCTTCAAAAAGAAGAGCTGTAAAGTTCTAAATACAATGAATTCCACTAATTGCCAGCCTTATAGTAAAAAATATTTTTGAAATGTATTAAAAGAGCAAAATGCTCAATTTTAATTCTTAAGCCAACATAAAGCAGCCATAGATGCAAGCTGGAAAATCTGAATTGAGTATCAGCGTGGTCCTGATCCTATGTAACACTCTCCACTGAGCTAAAGAAAAGTATCACTTGGGGGAGAAGACATTTTCTGCCATTCAAAATATAGCAACATAGTTAAAGAGCAATGTGACAAGCAAAGATGGCACAATACAGAGTTTTTAGAATATAAAACCCAAGAAAAATAGAAGTTTAGACACACGGTTCAATGCTCTTTCTTTGCCACACTTTGAACAATTCTTTATGTGTTGTGCAGAATAAATATTAAAATGCTGCTTTAAAAAAAAAAAAATTATTGAAAGGAAAACTTTCTTCCCACTCTCTAGAAATGTCAGGCAACTTATTGTGGCCTATGCATAGTCTGTAACACACAATCACTAATGATTGGTAAGTGGTTCCATATTCTCACTAATTTTTTGCAAAGTATCAAAGAAATTACTGAGTTGAGAAGAAAAAGATTAAACTAAAAATTAACTTCATCCATCACTCTTTATGAGCCATGTAAAAAGTCTTCAGAGGGAATAAATCTTTGTACAAGAGACTACTGCTGTTGAGAACTTTCTGTGCTTGAAAAGCGTGAATACCTTAAAGCTTGTCAGCTTTTCTGTTGACATTTTGTTCTTTTGATTAAATTTTCTGTGTTGTTCTGTATAATATGAAATGGTGATGAGTTGCTGTTGCATTTCAAAAATACCTTTGGTGTATAAACACTTCAGCAGTCTATTTAAATTCTTAGATATATTATTACTGGCCTGGAGCTCTTCTGAGTAGCAGTAATAAGCTTGAGAAACATGTTTATTAGCACTGCTAACATACAGCAGTAATTAGCAATTACAGCACTCTCCTCAGGTTCCAAATGTTCTAGGAGTCCCAAGGAAGGCCTTTTTTTTTCAAAGCATGAAGAAGAGTTCAGTCTTTTTCTGATTTGTAAAAGGCATGGCACACAAGATTAGAG